ATTTATCTTTTCTTATTATAATTTATTGTCATTCTAGAATGAAAGAGGCATAACTTATATTTATTTCCTAATTTGTTATGTTGGTTATGAGATCGGTCAAATCTGCCGAACATCTACAAATATTCGTTACTTAAAATAACAGATAAAATATAAAGTTTTTCTTGAGAAATGTTTGATAACTATCTGGACATTATAAAGATTTTGCATGTGAAATCTGAAAATTTTTTGATGCTAAAAGTATTTGTATTCTTAAATTGAAAATTACTTTACATATTGGATAGGCAACATGCGAAAAGAAAAAAAAAGGCATAAATAACATTGCTTTCTAAACCTTAAGGCTTGATAAAAAAAATCGATATTTTGAATATGAAAGCATTGTAATGTTTATTGATAATCTGCCAAATTTCATTACCATATGCTTACTAATTTAAAAGTTATAGCATGAAAACTGTAACAAGCATGAAATGGTTACAAGGTCAGTCCTAGGGACCAAGCCCATGCTGAAAGAGTTAAGGAAGCTTCTCTTGACATCTTTTATTCTTTAAAATGTTGGATTAGAGAAGAAAAATTGATTAAATTAAGTATAGTACTAAATATGATCATAGTCTAGTCTAAACTTTTTGAAAGTTGTGTTGAAAATTGTGCACATTATGTATTTGAATTTCTCAAAAAGCTGCAATCTGTCTGATCACAGAAGTTTCTGACGAAATTACACTGTTGTGCTGTGTAACATTGAAAAAATTACAGACTGCCTCTCATAAACTTTTTTGGGTCAAAAATTCTAAACATTTTTCTGCTTGATTTTCAATCATGCAACCTTTTATATATGTATATATATGTGTGAGACAGGTCATAAAGTTAGATTTTTTGAACACAGATGATGTGTTATTAGATTTAAAAAAAAAAGATCCCAAACTCAAGCACTTGCAAATAGTTAAATATTCTTCTTCTTCGGGGTAATTTATTTTGTAAAATTTGCCAAGAATATTCTTATATTGCTCATGTGAGAAGTTTATTTTCAAAGTTGTAGTGGGTATGGATGGAAATAAGCTATTTTATTATCATAAGTTCAAGCAGTATGTGAAATGTTAAGTAGTACCATGACCAAAATCCAGATTTTATTAGGCCTCTGAGAAGGATGTCAGCATGTCTTAATGAAACATATATATTGCCTATTCAACACATCATATTGTGTATCCAAACAAGCTTTATTTAGAAAATTTGAGGTCTCTCATAACTCCAAGAAAATAATAAGTTGGTGAGAGATATAGGAATGATGATGTTCACAAAACATTTGTAGACCATCTAGCTAAGACAAAGAGAATAAACTACAAATGAATTGAAGGAGGTAAGATTTCAATGTGTATTTGCTGATGGCAGTTCTGATATGAATATTGTAGAACAGGAAATGTTTTATGTTGGATATGTGGGTCCAGTTTCAGGCAAATTAAGATTATTTTGTAATATTATCATCTTAAATGATTTAACAGAAGATGATATGTTAACACCTATTGATAATGATTTAGAATCAAGAGGCATAACATGAAGTTTTGAGGTCAAAATTGGTGGGTTTCAACTTCAACAGGGCTACTTTGGTGATAGAGCAGGGGTAAATGGATGTTACAAAGCTTTCCCAGTTGGAAATCATAAATGCTATTGAAACAGTGCCTTACCTGAAAACATGTAATGAGATAATTGAAGGGTTATTAATATTGTTATTCCTCTTAAAAAGCAGAGGATAAAAACTGATCCCTGAATTCTTTGAGGAAAACTGAGCATTGTATGGTGGGGTTCAACAGGTCCTATGGTTGAAAAGCAGGCATAGAGCATTGCTGACCTTAGAGAAACACTATACTATTACAACTGAATGTCAGGAGTATGTTGGACAGGGGAAAAGTTAGGATGCAATAAAGACTATAGGTTTGCTGAAGGATCAGAAACCTGAAAAGTTTGCAAAATTTCTGAACTTTATGTTACAAATATTCTGAGTTAACTGAATGAGTAATACCACTGGAGGGATTAGTTTGTAATTGATGTGTGCTTGCTTCATTGGAGTTGTCTGAGTTTAAAGTTAATTGGAGTGGGTGATTGGAATAGAAAATTTTAACAAAACTGTAAAAATGATTTTTCACAATCTATCACACTGACAAAGTACACTGGTGTAGTTCTGAATGACACTTTTGAAGGCTTTCTGGATGAAATAATACAGTACCTTAGTAAAAGATTTTTATCACTCCAAGAACTTTTCTACAAAAATTTCATGATGTTTTGATCATAAATTGTTACACCAGGGGTGTTTGATAATGACAAATCATGGCATTTTGCATAAATTATGCACTTGAAAATTACCATACACATTTCTGACATGTATGTATTTTTTGTGATGGTCTGCTGCTTAATAATTATGATAATTTCTACTGGTTCACAGACTTCAAGTAAAAAAACATATTGTGGTCTAGGATAAATAAGTTGTAATACATGTGCATTGAAATCTTTCAAAAGTAACTGAAAACAAGTTTTTTTGCATCTCTGTTGTTTGATAAACTAACATGTTAGCTGCTGGTCAATTTCATGTCAAAGTTGCCCAACCTTACAATCACCAGGTAACCATGAAAGTATACATAAGATAACTTTTTATGCAGCAATTGTATCTTCATGAAAATTGTGAATCTCTTACGAAACATTACAACTTTTTTTTACTGAATATTTACAAAATGTGTAAAATGTATTTTATCTTTGTAGAATGTTTGCAGATTGTAACGGTTATTTATCCTAATATATTCAGTCCTCTATCTTTTCACAACTATTTTCATTTAATTTCATTGTTTTATTGCTCTATGAACTAAGTACTAATTCTGCATAAAGAAAATGTTGAATCATGCAGTGACTGTATAGTTCAGGTTAGGTAAATGAATTATGTAAATCACAAGCAGCTCGTGCAGACCTTGATGAATAATCTTTCTTATTTTTTTCTTGTTCAACTTAAGTTTTTAATTTTAGTATTTTAGTTATGTTTGTAACAATAGATAAAAATATACGTGGAAAACGAGAAATTTAGTACTTATATTTTAGTCTCTAGTTGGTTTTTCTGTCAGCCCACTTAAGTCTTATTTGTTTGTATAAAGATGTTACTTCTAGTAAATACTAAAGTTGTGGGGTAAAAGTAACATATTTTTTATCAGTTGATCTGCTCTAATGTGTAAAATTATCATGTTAGCTGATGTTGAGAAAAATCTTCTTGAAATAAATGTACGTATCATTTAAAAAAAGGCTAATATTAAGACTGATTGTAACAGTATCTCATCTTGTGGATCATTTCATGAAAACACTGAGGAGGAAGTTGCCAAGGCACGAGCTTAGTAGCTTGATTTGAAATTTGGTTGAATAGGAAGGGGATCACTTAGTCTTCATGAAGCTTAATCTATCTTGTTGGACTTGGTATTAAAACCTACTGATCTTGAATATACACTAGTTTAAATCATGATAACAACCTCTGCTTGCACAGCAGCTTGTAAAAGAACCATCAGTTCTGTGAATCAACTTAAAACAACATTCAGGTCTAAAAATGAAACAAGCATCTATTCAGAATCTTGTAAGAATGCATTTCAAACATTTTTATTCACTGAAACTTTATACTGTATCAGTTATTTTCTCTACCCTATCTCAAAACACGATCATTGGTCAATTCAACCAACCTTGTAAACACCAAAAAAAATCAAAATAAATATATATTGCCCCTTTTTCTTTTCAAGAATGACTTCAAATTGTAACATGAAACAAGTAACTCTAAGATCGTAACAGTATACATCTATTTATAATTAGATTTATTGTTTTATTGCCCTTTGAACTGTGTATAACTACTATCCTTGCCATTAAAAGTTGTAAATCATTCTGGGAATGTGAAGCTCACATTCCACTATCTAATCACATTACCCATGAACTGCTCGCATACATGCTTCGTGAACCATTTTTAATTAATAATTATTTCTTATTTTACCTAATCTAGTTTCAAATGATTTTAAAAGATCCATATTTTTAGAGTTTAGTAACTTATAATAAAAAATAAATATGAAAAACAAGAAATAAAATTCGTACCTAATCTTTTTTCTTGCTGTTGGGTTTCGAGGAGAGTTAACCATATTTTTTTATACTATATATAGTAATGCACTTAATAATTTTTATTTAATTAAATAATGCACCAAAGAATATAGACTAATAAAATGCAAAACGTAAACAAATTCACTTAACTCTCAAAATATTTCCTGTTTTTTAAATATGCGACAAGAACTGTTGTAAATTCATCCAAGCTAGTTATTAACTTTCCAATGGGGACGAATCTTGTACTGTGAAGGAAATTGAAGATCTTCTGTTCAGAACACAATGTTATAAAATACTTTATTTGACAGATGAAAACCTTGACTTTCTATTGGTTGTAGGTAATATATAATGAAACGTAAGAGAGAACTATCAATGAATTGTGAAAGAGAAGGTGGGTGTGGCAGGAGGGGTTTGATTTTCTAATCGATAGCTCTGTAACCAAACAAAATTGAAGGCTATAAAAATTATGGTTTGTTTGAGCAGTAATGATTTTATAGCGAGTATTTGATGTTTAATTTTGTACTTTTTGGAGGTGTGATGTATAAAATAGGGATGATGACATGCTAAGAGAAAATGTGTTATGTGGGTCACACTAGTGGAAATTCAGGATTTTTTAAAATATTTCCTTGTATAATTAAGATTAGTGCAGATTTTATGCTATCCTAATTGGTCTAACATAAACAAAAAGTAGCTTAATAAAATTTTGAATGTAAGACACTAAAGCCTTGTGTTGTGTGCAGTAAAGGGTACCCAGGGTGACAAGGTTAATGGATATTGTTTTGATGGAACCAAGTTTGTCTGTACATGTGCGGCAAGTAATTGTGATTTATTGTTGAGGTGTATGCAATTTCATAATTCCATATTTTAAACCATTAGGCTCTTAAATATTCTTGTTTTTTTAGGGGTAATGACTGTGACATTCGTGTACAACTGCCAAATGTTTCAAGAGAACATTGCATGCTTACTGTAGACAAGAATGAGAAGGTAAGTAAATGGTCCTTTTTTTTTAAAAAAAATTGATTAATTCAAGAGTTGTTTTTTTATGTTGTTTTAACAGAATACACACATTTCTTTATAGATGCACCCGATGCATGCGAGATGTATAAACTCAAAATTATGAAAAAGCACATTTTCATCTTTTATAGGTGATAAAGTGTCAATTTGTATACACATGTATTTATTGTTGTTTTGCAAAGTGAATTTTGCATTATTCACCAAAAAAAACATCCATTTTTCAAATGAAAATAATATTGAAATATTAAAAGACTATTTTTTAAGGTAAAGTGTATGTTATTTTAAAGCAGGGGCAATGATTTTCTGCAAATGCATGAAAATGGACAGAATTTGACACATGTGGGTATTTGAAATGAAATTTCTTAAAAAAGCCAAGCAAAGCATCAGAATAATGTTATTAGTTTCTTAGGAAACAACAGTTAGCTCACCAGCTCCTAAATCTGTTAAGGTAATCTACATCAAGAAATTTAAGGAGAAATGTCATTTGTTAATGTTAGTTTTATCCAGATTTATCAGTATCTAGTGTTTATGTAGCTAAGCTGTCAGTATAGAACAACTACTAAATGTGTACTCTCATATTCCAAATAATCGTACTTGTACGATTATTAATTTTGGAGAAAATTTTAGACCTTGCACAATGCTTATTTGGGTCTTCACAATTATTTTTTTCCAGTCATCTTTAATTAAAAACACAAAATTCAATTTCATACTATGATTTTGACCTGTAGGATAATTAAATTAAAATTCTTAATTTTTCCAACTTGCACTATTATTTGGAACATCAGAGTAGATAAATATTATAACAAAGCTGTAATATTTTTATCTAATATTCACATTAAACTAAAATTAGTCAATGGCTAAATATGACAAAACACAGCACTTCAGTAGTATATTCTGATTCAAAATTATTGTGCATTATTTTAAAGCCTGTTCACACTAATTAAAACTCCTAAGCCAAGAATAATGCTTAATGATTGTTAGTCCATAATTATAGTATGGATAATAAATTGTTTGTTTTCATTATTTTCTGTCTGACAACATTAAATGATTTGAAGGACAGGCTTTAAAACCAGTCATTTTGAATCACACTGCATAAGTGACAAATATAACCTTGTGTTTCTGTAATATCTAGTTGCATATTGTACAAAGTTGTAATTGAAGAAATATTGTAAATATTAAAGAAATTATGAATTTTGTTATAAGTAATGTGTATGTAATGTATTCACAAAATATGTGATAACATTAGCAGGGCTCCATTTTAATGGTCGTCCAACACCAATAAAAACTTCCTCAGACAACCAGCTTAAAACTCCATGTTGTCTGATGGATGACTAGTATCCTGGAACAGACTCTTACTCAAAAAGCATCACAGTCTACTGTATACATGTATCCATGCTTACACTACACACTTAATGTTGATTCTGATCCTCGACCAAAATCATTGGTAATTTTCCTAACTATGAACTCGAAAATTTGAAACCCCACAAAAAATAATTTTTGATCCATTTTTGGTTTGAAAAAGATTGTACAAGAGAAATGATGGTATAATCCACGAAAAGGGGCTGAAAATGTTAAAAAAGGTTTGATTTTGTGATTGGCTAATAATGCTATTTTAGTCACTAAACTTTCTGTTGTGGACAAGCTATGCATCTGTGCTGCTTTATGTACTTAAATTTTGTATGGAGTTCAACTGAGCATGAATCACTGTGTATACAACTCAGTTAGTTACATTACCACAGTGTATTGCGAGGTGTTTGTATGTATATATACTGCATGGGTGGGTGGAAATTTGCAACAAAAACAAATGCTGATAACACAAATATTTAGTGAGATTAATTTCTAGTATAAATGGTTATGACAATAAACTAATATGGCTGTCTCAACTTCATACTGATAAACCTTCAGTGGTAATTGAAACGATCAAATTTACAAAATCAAACACAAAATTTTTATCATTAATTGTCGTAGTTGAAACACTGACCCCCCCCCCCCTTTCGATTGTGCACGTATAGGCCTAATGCTAATGTTAGACAGACATGACCGATTGAATCTAGGAAATGTGGAAGGCCTAGCTACCATGTGAAAAGTGGGAAAATTCATGGATTAAACAAAACATAATAATGATAACTGCAAGCAAAATGTTATGAATATTTTGTTCAGTACGAAACAGAATAACAAATAAAATAACTCTTGCTTTGCCTCTCACCAACAGTTCAAATTACAAGTATGAAAGACAATACATATCAGTGGTGTGTGTGTGTACATGTGCAGTGTTCTGGCATTGTGTATGTATTACGGTATAGTAGTATTTGTGAGAGTTCTGATGCAAGTATATTCTTACTATGGTCTCTACTTTACTGTACGTGGTGGATAAACCAAGCTGATTAAAATGAAAACATTGAAAGTGATTGGCCAAGATCACTGTTTTGTTTAAAAGTTTTTCAGGTCATTGATTGTTTTTTTTCCAATGTAACAAAACTTCCCAGAAAATGTGTCAAAAATTATTTGAATAAAGATGCAAAATTACCAACTAAACCACACTTATACTTTTTGGAAATAAATAAGACATAAAAACATCAAAATTCTTGTAATTGGGTCTTTTTTTAGGGTGTTTGTACATCAATGTTGTAGTAATTGTATTTTTTTTTAAGGGTCTGTATTTGTTTGTTTTTCGGACAGCCTCTAAAATTTTCTTAAAATCAATCCCTGATTAGCAGAAATCTTAAGAATTGTTTGAAATGTTTTAGTCTTACAGTGGCACTTAAATCATGGACATCCAGATAGACAGTATTTTAAAATGATTGAACATTCAGTTTTTAGAGGTAAATATCTAAGTAGGAGATGATTTGGTTTCTAATACTACTACTTTGGAGGATAGTAAGTGTTGTAATAATGATTAAATATTGTTAGTTTTTTGACTTTCATACAAAGCTAACACAATTTTGTTAGGTCCAAGTTCAGTATAACTGAAATCAGTGTTTATTCAAAATAATTTTGTTCAATGAATAATGCATGCATGGTTACAGAAAATAAGTTAAAACTTGTGTTTTAGTTATGCTGAATTTGATGTTTGTGATGAAACAGAATTTGATATCCAGTGAAAGTTTTTTCTTTAATGGAAAATTACTGACACTGCTAAAGATGGTTACATAGCTTTTAAGCCCTTACTGTTAATAGGATACATTCGTGTACTCATATTTCATTAAAGAAATTACACCAAAGTTTTGGAAACAACAAAAGCAATGATTGTAAAATGTTATCCTGAAAATTTTTAGATAAAAACGTAAATGAATTAAATAAACACGTTTTTGCCATGTTAGAAAATTGTTCTCCAAGTTTGAGTCTGATAATATTGGTGTAATCACTCAACTGCTGATACTAGTCTTAAAAGATGATTGAAAGTTTCTTTAAAATGTTTTAGACACTTTCAACTCGTGTATTTATGTTGAATTCACTTAAGTATTTGATTCACGTATATATATTTTTCTAAAGTTCTTTGCTGATCTGTTATAAGTTAACTTTTATTAATGGACCAATAATGCTGATAGTGCATAATTTATTAAAATTGTTATTATAGGAAAGTTATTGCTATAATGAAATACTTGAAGTTATATGATTATGCCTTAGTATACAAGTAATTATTTGTTTTCTAATGATATTCAGTATCATTTACTTATATTTCAAAATTTTTGGATTTTAATTATTATAGGTCCATTTAACTTCCTTGACTAATATGAACCTCACCTTGTTGAATGGATTATCTGTAACACACAAAACTCCTGTTAACCACAAAAACATAATCACTGTCATTGACAGAAACTTCCGTTTTGAATACCCACCAAATTCAATTCATCGTCCATATCCCACACCAGAAAAAGATGAGCATATACCTCTGAACTGTGAGCAGGCGGTAAGTTCAGTTACTTCTTTACATGGATTAGTTTTGTGATTACCTCATTTCCTGTGGTTTTCTAACTTGTGTTATAGTTTGTTATCAGTGTAGTCAATGTATTTCAATGTTGAGAATGGGGTTGAATCCAGTGAGGACATTGTTTTTAAAAGAATTAAAGTAACGAGTTGTTATATAATAGTAAGCAGGTCATTCTCAAGAAAGTTTAAACCCAACTTTCATATCTATAGTTCAGTTTAAGTAGCAACAACAAAAATAAAAGAGAGAGTGAGAGCAAGTAAATAAACAAAAAAGTGATTTAGGCTCTAAGCATAATGTTTTACAAATTTCTGTGGATTATAGGTACTGATTCTAGATAATCAGGATAGGTTTCTGTTACTTACAATCCATATAACTGACATTTTCATTTGGTTTTGTTTGTAATAGGGTTGAAAGTCTTCTACTTGAATGCATTCTATCTACAGTTTGTTTATGTAGCACTTTCAATGTGTCAAAACTTGAAAGTCTTCATTAACAAAAACATACTAGCATTAATTAGTAGATGAAAATTTTTCAAACTAGTTTTTTTCAGGTGATAATATTCTCTTCCTTAATGAATTTCTTTTCCTTATCTTTTGAATTTATTTGCCTTAACATAAATTTAATATTTCCTTCTTTTTTTTTTTATATTTGGTATTTAGTTTGCAAAATATATTACTTTCCCCAATTTACTTAGTTAAAACTGTACACTTGTTTTTATAGGTAGTTTCTTACTCAGGGGCACCCACCATAATTTTATTTGTTGCCAAAGTTTTACTCAACAGGTATTTTTTATAGCCATTTTTGTCTATTCAAGAAAAATATCATTAGGTTATAAATTGTGAGCAATTAAAATTTGTCTGGATTTCTCAAAAACCTGAGGTTTATCTCACAATTGAAATTAAAAGAAAAATGACACTGCTGCATTTGAAACACTCAAATATTACGGACTGTCTTCTATAAAAAATTTTATTAATATTAATTTTTAAGTGTAAAAAATTCTAAACATCTGCTTAAGCTTTACACTCAGGATTTTAACTCTTAAAAATTACAACTTCTGCAAATAAACAACAGCAAATAGAAGATGTTTTTAGATTAAAAAGAGTTTTGCATGTCTCTCTTACTATCTCTTCTACTAATGAGAGATTTTGCGAACACAGAAGACATATTGTTAATTGTAACACCAATGAGAAAGTGTCTCAAACTAGTTATCTTAAGGTCTGCTTCAATTGAATGCTCCTGTGAGGAAATTGCCTTATTTATATCCTAGGAACCATTTCCCAATCAGGTTTAATCAAAAAATTATCTTTCATTTAATCCTTATTGATGGGTCATTTTGAAAAACCATGAAGCTATGCATACTAGAGCTTTGAATTTGATAAATATATCTTTTACTTAAGTAGTACAAGTTTTGTAAAAAAAAATAATAATTTTTGATATTTTTATTACAAATTTATGTGTGAATTTTCAAAGCCTTTATGGGGTCAGTTTGAGTGATATCATCACGTTAAAATTACAAATACTTTTCATCTTACAATTTTTATATTTCATATGCATAACCTATAGAACCTCTTAAATGAATATCAAAAGAGGTTTTAGGGTAAAACCTTATATTTTATCTGTTATTTTCTCCACCCTGACACTAACTGTAGCTAAATCATCAATGCACAGTAAGATCAGGGTTTTGTGGGTCATGGAATTTCTGAAAGTCAGAGAAAAATAAAATATGTTTTTAGACCTGGAAAGTCAGGGAATTTTATGAATTTTAGTTGGAATCATGGAATGTCTGGGAAAATCTTGTTAGGTGAACGTAACTGCAGAAGATGTTAGTGGACAGTAGTTCTCTCGGACTTTTGATTTGTCGTGTTCAAATTTCTTTATTTTTGTCTACCATTCAAGTTGCACGTTATCTGTTTTCCCAACGTATTTTTACATGAAGCATTCATTGTTTTTCTGGAGTGGTGTTGCTACAGCTACCTACAATGGCTTAAGCATAATTCACTTATGAAGTGTTCCTGATTAGTAGCAAGGCTGATTTTTGTACATATGCGTAGACTTGATTTAAACAGACTATGCCTGGAAAGTGCATTTTCAATGATAATCGTCTAACTGATGAGAGATATATAAATTGTGGTTGTCCTCAATAGATGACAGAAATGCAAGTTTTGTTTTGTACAGCACAAAAGTAGATTTGTCAAACAGGGGTGAGGGAGCATTACATTGCCTTGCTAAGAGAAGCAAGCATCAAACTCACCAGGAAAGATGAAGAAATAGATTCTATAATGCTTCAAGTTTACCCAGGCACATTGATCTGACAAGTCATCAAACAGTATAGGTAAGACTACAATATTCATATAATTAAAGATTTTTTCCTTTAATTGAAACTTTTGTGAATTGCTTTTTGTTTGTTTATATAGTGAAAGGGACTGACATACCATATTGCTGATTTTTTACTGCACATTAATTTTTTTATTTGGATTTTTAAGTAGTCTACAGTGTTGGCTTACTGAAATGCATACTCAGTAGAATTAATTAGCATTCTTATGACTCAAGTTTCTAAAGGAGAACTGTGTGTTGTTCTGCACTGTAATTAGAGTAAAACATGTCTGCATTTGTATAGGAAAAGTGGCATACATTATTGTTGTACTTTTGTGTATGTAAAGCCATTGTAGTGGATTGTATAGTGAATGCAGAGAAGTATCTGTGCAAGATGTTTAGCTAAATTTTATTATACAACATGATGTTAAATAAGCATTAAAAATAACTGATGCCATATTTTATTTGTGACCAAAATTTTGAATTCTAGTAATTTACATATCCAAGATTAATGATGATGATGATTTAACTCTATAACAGTAACATGCAGTAACATATAACAAAGGAGCATGACACATACTCCTGAAGCAGCTGGCTCCCTATATATTACATTTTGTGTACCTCACTTTCTTAACTGGCACCATATGAGTTGGATGTGTTTCTTGTTTAATTAGTTTTTGATACTGACTACACATGATTTTTTTTAAATGTGTGAGAGAATCAAAATCTGTATCATGACATAATGCATAATAGAATGAAAACAGTTTCATACCCATTATTATGTTTTCTACATTAACTATTTCTCATGATTCGCAACATGGTTACTTCTGTTTCTGGGTTCACACTTATTTTTTTTACCCAAGCCACAGGATCGATGTTGTCTGCCAAGGGGATACGTACCTTAGTATGTTGAATGTTTACTTTTTCCATGTGACCTGGACCTTCCTCTCCACGACAGTTGAAGCATATTCTGGCATTTCTGTATGTTGGAGAAGTTGGAGATTTCACTAGTTTTATTTTTCTTGACCCAGTTACCATTTTACCAACTCTTTCAATTTGGTGGGGGGGGGGGGGGTTGTTGTTCTCTTCCTTTCCTCCTATTACTTCCAACTCCCCCAGTGACTTGATGGTAAGTATTTTGGCTTGTATACTACAAACCACCTTGCTTTACCTATGGTAGGCATAGTTCAGGTGCGGTGCCTGTTTTGTGACTTTGTCCTCATTTCCATGCTTGAGCATAAAGTATTTCACGTCTTCATTGTTCTGACTTTGGTATGTTGGATATTTCTATGTACTTTGTTGTCTGTGTCATTTTTGATGGATTGTCAGTTAAATATTAGCTTGGTGTGGGACAGTGATCATCGCATGGGGAATGTTCCTCTTCCACCTCCTTGGATATTCCATCTTTCACCATTGCTTCTTTTGTAAGTTGGAGTACATATCTTGATACCCTGGATATTTCCCAGTATTGGTGTATCTGTGCTTCATTTCTTAGTTTTGGTGCTCTTCATTGTTCTTAGAACTCTGTCTCCTATCTTACATCTTTTGTGAATGAAGATGGTTTTAGTGCTTTCTGCAGACTTTCAACTGGTCCTATACTTTTGCAAGCAGGTGGGTATCTGGTTCTGGTTCCTTTGTTTTTTGACTCTGGGGTTACAACTTCTGAACTCTGGATACTGCTCTTGGCTTGACTTCTTCCCAGTGTTTTGAACCTAGTTGCAGATTGGTTCTACCATCGGCTCGTGGATATTCCCATGGAATGGTCCCTCCGTCCTCCAGTTGTCTGACAGTTATGCTCTTGTCTGGGCACTCTGCACATAGATGCCACATGTCTAGGTATCATCCTGCTGTCTTTCTGTTCTCCGGTTCTTTAGCCTCTGGCTTTGTGTTGGTCTATCTTTTTTTTTCTAGTATGGAGGGGCCTTCTCACTTATACATCTCCTTTCACAATGTATATCCTAGATTCACACCTCTCCATGTCAAGTTCTCTGGGTGTCTCAGTTTGACTGGTCCTCCATTCCCTTTCCCATCTTTGTTCCTGGTGGTTCCAGGTGGCCTTCTGTTTCCTATGTGGGCTCTGTGTTATGTTATTCAAATGACTTCCATTTGTGGTTCCTGTTCCTATTTGTTTTTTCCCTGGAGCCTTTTAGTGTCTTGTGATATTTCCCTCATCACCATTGCAGGTTGGATTCACCAGCTTATACAGTTGGTTTACTCTTCCCTTTGCTCCGTAGGTTGCCTTCTTTATCTAGTCTCATCTCATTTGTTTCGACATGTCACCTTTGTCTCTGGTGGTTCATATTTGTCGTCCTCTAGTGAAGATTTTCCAGGTTGATTGTTGACTACTCCTTGTACTTTTGTTTCTCATTACTTGCTTCATCTGGCTGTATCTTTCTCTGGTGGATATTTTTTTCCCCCTCCAGTGAAAATACTTCATGCTCCGGTTTGATTCTGCCTTGGGGAAGGGTAATTTTTTTTTTCTCCGGAGGCCTCTCCTTATGTCTTCATTACATATTTGGATCCCACTCAGTGGTGAGTGTTACATGGTCAGGTATATCTTACTTTAATCTGCACCTGCCATTTTTAAGGTTGTAACACACACTGTTGAGGTGAGGTATTCAGCAAGACCACTAACAGCTTATCTTGTGTTATATATCTATGTATAT